TGCCTTAGCAACTAATGAGGTCTGATTGCCCATTTCAATAATAAAACAGGTCCACATCAAAGAAAAATTACGATTTTTTTACCACAAAATATGTGAAAACAAGCACAATTGCTCTTCTGCACACTGATGCATCCATATCCCAGTGCACACATACAGAGTGGAACAGGGGAGATATTTATGATATATCAGTAGGTCTCTGGGTTATTTCAATATACTCAACTTTTTTCAATAATAAAAAGAGAAAATATTTTATCTGTCAAAATGAAATTTCAGAAGAGGGGGACCTGGCATCTATTTTTGGGTGAAAGGATTATGAACTTGATTCTGTTATGATACTGAGAATAACTCCCTAAGTTAAAAAGCACCAAACATATTTTTGCACCAGTTTCTTGTTAATGGGTTTTGGAATGCTAGCACAAATCCAATCTGGCCCACTGCACTTTTCCAAAGACGTTCTAAGGCTACAAGCCTACATTTAAACCTACAAGCTTTGACTGAATATACTGATTAAGCAAAATATTCAACATCCCCCCCCGCAAATCTTCTATCCACGCACAATTCAAACACTGGATTGCGAGTAAAAACTGAAGGTTGACAGAGAAATCATTAGTATGCAGCAGCGCTCTGTGAACCTCCCGAAGTTTACGAGTGCTTCAGACAGAGCTAAACCAAGGCAAGACTACACATTTAGATCGCACCCAGCAGCATGCCGCTCCCGTCAGCACAGTACGAAGCTATTCCTATTATATTAACTTTCTCCCGCAGAGAAAAACCCGCGCCCGCACAGTCAGCAACAGGGCCAAACCGCTACCACCGCAGAGGTTTCTTCTGTTTTGACGTCAAAACTCAACTTTTAGCGGGATTGACCAGATGCTTTGACCCTCCGCAAAATCAGTCCTCTCACCCATTCTGGCGGTCGGGACGGCGGGCTGAGAGATGTGGACCCTTCACTCAGCTGTCCTCTTTTCCCCTCTTGCTCGGCTCCTCTTCCTTTCGCCCTCACAGCAGCCGCCGCCGCCGCCGCCGCCTCATACCAAAGCTTTTGCAGAGGTACCCGCTTCAGCCACCTCCTTCCTAAGGCCTGAAACAAGCGGCTCCTCCTCCGCTCGTCTTCCGTCGATGTATCCTACTTCTTCCTTCAGCGACAGAAATGCGCTGAAATTCTATGCAAGTCTCTTACGCTCACGCACGCGCAGTTCCAATGGTGGAAACTAAAGATTCCCTAAGCGGCGCAAAAGTACGCGTGCGCACTCTCAAGAACAGGCGGGGCTACTAAAATGTTCAGCTGCCAATTACTGTACCAGGAGTGAGTGATGTGAGGGGTCGTTCAGTCAATCGTGGCGTGATAGACTTCTGCAGGTGGTAATCCAGGCCTCAGAGGAGGGTACATGGAGATTCTCAGTCACTTTGGGATGACCTTCGAATGGTGCGGGAGCATGAATGGATTTCCAGAAAACTTGCAGACTACAGGAACCTATCCTTCCATCCCTCCACCATCCAGTCACAACTGATGAAGCTTCTTGGATTGGAAGGAGAATGTCTTCCTAAAGGGAAAACAGTCCAGTTGCCTTTTGAAAAAACACGTTTGACAGTTCTCAAGAGGAGGAACTTGATCTTATAAACGTTTAAATTAGTGCTTGAATGCAGACTTCATGGACTGGAATTCTGATCTCGATGACTGCAGTGTTGTTATTTTGACAATACTGAAAGGTTTGTTAGTGCCTTCTGGGATCTTGTTCGACTTCCTTATCTAGTTTATAATGTGGGGGCTCTCTTAAGTCTTTTGTCCAAATGTGATCTAGATATCTTTTATGGACTGTAACTTTGCAGATAATTTTGTGCCAAATCAGATCTTTTCTTAACCCAGGATGAAAAATGCCTGATTTGCAATAAGGCAGACCATTATTTATACTAATTTATGTTTCTTATCATAGTTTATTTACATTTTTTATTCCACTTTTATTTTTATTAATAACTCAAAGTAGTGAACATACCCGACACTGCTTCATATTTTCCCCACAGCAATTGTGTGAGATTAGTTTGGCTGAAATAAAGTAATTGGTCCAAAGTCACCCAGCTAGTTTTCATGTGTATGGCAGGACTAGAATTCATAGTCTCCTTGCTTTCTAGTCTGTGCCTTAACCAATAGTGGTTTTGAAATACTAAATTGATACAAGATCATTTTTATATGCAGTATTAATCTAACATTATTAAAATTTTACTCCATTTTATATAGCTCATGATTTTATTTCTATTTTTTCCTCTTTTGTTTCTTTACTCTTTTGGCTCTGCTTTCAAGTAAATTTTAAAATTAAAAAAAGATCTAAGCTGCAAACCTGATAACAAAGCAAGTCAGATCTCAACCTGCATAAACATTCCAGATTAGCCAAAAAATTGTTAAGTGAGGACAGGACCACACACTGCCGAGCAGAACAGCACTTTAATGATACCTTGTTAACTTTCTCCCTAGTATCTACAGTTTACCACCCTTGACAAAAAAAGCAATGTAGAATCAATTCAATTCAGAACAGAACTGAAAGGAAACTTGGCGGTCTTCTAGTCCAACTCCCTGCTCAAGCAGGAGACTATACCATTTCAGATAATCCTTTATGTCTTTATTAAGTCCAGCTCAAGTTGTACCATTTAACCCATCTTGGTACTTCTATTTAGATTTATACTCCACCTTTTCTCTCCTGGATATGCAGATATTGGGGAAATGCTCCCTTACCAATCTATCCTTGTAGTCATGTTGCAGAAATAAGTCAGAAGTGTGAAATGATCACTAAGACATCAGCTATCTTGGAAACACTTTTCTACCGGCCTCTGTTGGGAATGGAGCTATCCAAATGATTGTAAGATGGATATCTAGGTGGTTTTTAACAGAGGTTCAATAAGTTGCAGATGTTTGAAAATCCCAGAGCCAGAGAAAACCCTGTAACAACCTAAACAATTAAGGTTACATAACTTTTCCAGGTTAAACAACTTTCTATTTTTAATGGAAAAAAAAAAGCTTTACTAAAACTTCAACTCTTATTTATGCAACTATACTCAATGTAATTTTGAGGATTTGGGCCTATTTCTGAATAGCTGTATACTAATGTATATTGTGTTCTATACTGCCTTTTCCCCCTGACAACTGAATTTTCAGCTAATGAAATGGTTATGTATATTAATGTATTTTTTTCATTTTATACCATCATGAATAATTTAAAAATGTTCCATTTTATTAAAACGTAAGAAAGGCAGAATTCACATAAGGAAGTAGGAATGGAACAAATCAAAATTTGCAAAGGAAGCAAGATTAACAATTTAAAAATTCCAGCATTCTACTTCAAACCCTTTAAAAAACTGTTTAAAATTTGTACAGCATGTCAATACAATTTAGAAACCCGGTGTCCTAAATGAAGATAAAATCCATTTCATGTATTTTTCCATAAAAATCAAAATATTGTAATATTAATCATTGTCTGCCACATAAAGATAAGATTAATAACAACTTTGCCTAACAATATTGGTTTAGAAAATATATGCAACACCTGGGAGTGGAACATAAATCAGTGCTATTGCTCATTGAAAGAACAAGAAGTTTGGAACTTTATACAGTCATGCTACAAATTTCACACCTTTAAGAAATCATCACACTGGGAGTACATAACATTTTACAGTTCAGAATTGGTAGTAAAAACAAAAGCCCATATTATTTAATATCCCGTACAATAAGAACATTGTTCCTTGTAAAACAGATATCACAAATCCATATTCATCACTTGACAATCCAACACTGCATGTTAGATTTGCATGTTTTGGCTCCTTTACTAGATACATCTTACGCCCACGGTCTAAGATACATCTTATGCCCATGGTGCTTAGACCAGTATAGGTATGTATATATCAATTATATTTTCTCTCAACTGTACTATACTCACATATTATCAGACAAATAATTAATAGTCTTGTTGATCTTATTATATACATGATTGGTGGTTACATCTGAAAAGATCATGCCTCCCTCAAGTTACTGTGAAAAAAATGCTCTCTGATATGAAACTATGACCTCTTCTCTGAAATCTAAATACAGTAAGTTATTCTTTTGTGAAGGAGGAGAAATCAGTCACAAATACACTCATTTTATTGTATCAGAGAAGAGCTATTGTACATATACAGGTCACACTATCGAAGCAGCTTGATATGGGAATAAGAAGCAACATATTAATATACAAGAAATGCTTGAACATTTTAAAGTTCTGTAAATTGATGTATCTGATCATTTTTCATGTTTTCAGAAAAAAAGCACCATCCCATATTAACAACATATATAATTCTCAACATTTTAGCATGTGTGCTTTGCTGCTTTATGGAAAGATTTTTGTTGTTTTGCATAATTGTATCACTGCTGAGAAAAGTGATATAAAAACTGCTTTTGAAAGTTTAAAGCACAACTTCTCTGGAAAATGCTCATCTATTAGAACAGTAAAAATCACTAGTTGCTGAAGTGTTTCCTACATTTAGTAAATAGTATGTTATAAGGGCCACATACATATACATTAAAACTAGATGCACTTTTGTAATTAGATACTAGATATGTAACCAAATACCCAGAGTTTTATATACTTCTATTACTTTTGAAGAGTCTTTAGTTGCAGAGAAGGGACAACAACATATAGATGATTATCTAATGTAGCATATTAAATTAAAGCTTCAATCTAAGACATTTTTGCAGGAACAAAATGTCTCCAATAAGTCCTGCAAAGGACAAGTCCTTGCTTTAACAAAAGCAGAGCATAGAAGCCCTTACAAACCGATAATTATACCTCATAATTGGTATCAAAGAAATTGCGTGCAAACAGGGAGGGAAAGAAAAAAGTATAATGTTTAATAAAAGGTACTCGTATAATGCTATAACAATTAATAGCTTTTAGGCATCTATGACAGATTATTTCAGGTAGAATGTTAATTGGCATACAGTGCCATTGCAATAAAAATGCTCAACACAAATGGCCATAATATATACATAACTTTAATTGAACAGGTTGATAAAATCTGAGACGATCTAAAACACCAAAGATACCCCCGTATTTTTAAGTCATTGGCATGGAGTGGGGAAGGTTAAGAGAGAGAAACGATGGGTAGAAGTTCATCATATATACTCATTAACTCCAGTTGTAAGTCTTCCTGGAAGAAGTTAATAAGAGCTAGTGACACTGTTTCAATGCAGCTTTGTTCTTAACTCTAGAAGACTGAAAGACTACCATCCTGCTTCATTATTTCCCATAGCCTAGTTATTTTTACACTCTCAGGATTTCTAGACAGTTATTATAACAGATAGCTATCCAGTCCGGCTGAGTTGATGCCCACTGTACATTGTTAATTTCTCCTTCTGCTGTGTAAGCCAAAATTGGGTCCTCAATGGCACGAGGCATTTGCTGGATATCCCAAATGAGAGCTTGATGGTCATCCGCTGTCAAAGGTAAAACACAGATTTAGTTAAATTTTCTTTGCTGATAATTTATTTATCCATGTATCCCAAAATAGAGGAAAAAAGCCTTGAGAAGTCATGGGTGACATGACTATCAAATATACAGTATGTGACAGTATTTGGCTAATCCGGAAAAGTATTTTTTGCTGGTGGGTAGATATTTAAATATTTTACAAGATAAAATCATATTAATTAAATTGCTGTGTAACACTTTATTTTTATTTTAGAACAGTAAAAAATAGGCATCCTCAGTGTGTATCCCTACATTGCATATACATTATTGTTGAGAGGTCCTTGGTGCTCTCTGAGCTTGCTTGTTTTCTTGCAGATGTTTCATTACTCAAACTAGGTAATATCATCAGTGCTAGCAAGGAGTGCAATTTGCTGTCAGTTTATATTCTAGTGCAGGACTTTTCAACTTTTTTATAGATTGTACCACTTTTAGGACATGGCAATATTTGAGTACCACCAGTGCTTAGCAAGATGTCAAAAAAAAGAGGAAAAAAGTACTGGTTTTAATTTCTTTGGTGGCAGTTCCTTTGCTGAATTACTTTCCCCTTTGCAGTGATGAACATATGACCACCACTATCTTGGTGGTCAGGTGGCTGGTAGGCACTTCTTCCTCTCTCCCTCTCCTCTCTCTTTTATAGCCTACTCCCTCATTGATCCATCTGCTTCTCTCATAGAAGCCTTCCTCTTCTTCCTCTTTCTCCTCACTGCTTCTCTCACAGAAGCCTTTCTGCTCCTCTTTTTCCTTACTGTTTCTCTCACAGAAGCCTCTCCTCTCTCTCTTTCTCGTCACTGCTTCTTTCATAGAAGCCTCTCCTCTTCTCTCTCTCCTGTTTCTCTCACAGAAGCTTCTCTTCTCCCTCTCTTTCTCCTCACTGCTTCTCAAAGAAGCCTCTCTTCTCCTTTTTCCTCACTGTTTCTCTCACAGAAGCCTCTCCTCTTCTCCCTCTCTTTCTCTTCACTGCTTCTCAGATGCCTCTCCTTTTCTCTCTCTTTTTCCTCACTGCTTCTCTCATAGGAGCCTCTCTTCTTCTCTTTCTCTATTCACTTCTCTTTCCCCATCATCTTTTATTTCTCTCCCTCCCACCAAAACCTCCTCCTTTTACCTCCTTTTCTCTTCTGGGTGCCCCTCTCTGGGGCTCAGGAAGAACTCCAGCGTCAGTTGCTACCCCAGTCTCACTCCCCCACGCAGTCACCCATTCCCCAGCTGGGCATTGCACACAGCGCTGATCAGCTGGAACTGTGTGCACCGATCCTGAAGCCTCTGCAGCTCCAGCTGACTCTCTCACCCCAAGGCCAGTCTGCTGATCCCAGTGATAGCAGAGGCAACACCGCAGCTTCAGCTGACTCTCCACCTGAAGACTAAGTGCAGCTGCTGGCCAACCCAAGGCCTCCAGAAGCGCCGATTAGCTGGAGCTGTCGCACTGATCCTGGGACCTCAGCAGAGCCCCAGCAACACTGCAGCTCCAGCTGACTCTCTCCTAGGCCTCACTGGCGCTGCTGCCACTTCAGCTCATCCCCCCCGCTATACTTGTCTAGGTTGTGTACCACCTGCCAGATGCCGAAGTATCACCAGTAGCATGTGTACCACTGTTCTAGTGGCTTGCCTATCGATGTTGGTGGGGAAAAGAAAAACTAGAGAAAAGAAGAACTAGGGGTGATATGATAGTAGTGATCCAATATCTCAGGGGTTGCCACAAAGAAAAGGGAATCCAGCTATTCTCCAAAGCACCTGAAGGCAGGACAAGAAGCAATGGGTCGAAACTAATCGAGGAGTAACGCCCACCCTGGCTCTGCAAAAGCATAAAAGTCACTAAACATCACGTGACATGATTGAGTTTGACATCCATGGACTAGACTTTCTAAGCAAGATGAATGCTGTGTTTTAAGGAAAAATTTTCAACAGTGGATGCTGCAGTGATTTTTACCACAGACTTACAAACTTTGGAAATGAGAGGTTCAATCCTAGGTCCTGTTCTATTCAATGTGTTGTAAGTGATATAACAGAAGGATTGTTTCTTTGTTGATGACCCAAAGATGTGATAGTGTTGATGTTCCATATCCATAACATGGAAAACAATTTGGCATTGTTGCAAAAATTGGTAAAAAAATGTGGAAACGGCAGTTCAATGATTCTTAATGTAAGATCATATACAGTACTTGGGGAAAAAGAAATCCTCTGGCAGGGTATAGTATTGGGGGTACAGCGTTAGACAGAACAACAAAAGAAAAGGGTTTAAGTGTGCTCATAGTGGATGACTGAAAAATGAATAAATAGTGTGGCCAAGTAGCTGTGAAGGCAAAAAACCCCAACACCCTGGGATGCATCACTAGAGGGATCACCAGTAGAATAAAGGAGACCCTAATCCCACTATATAGGGCTCTAGTGTGATCCCATTTGGAATAGTGTCCAGTTCTAGGGATTTCACTTTTAAAAAGATATTGATAAGATTGAGTCTGTCCGGAGACAGGCAACAAAAATTAAGAGCGTGAATAAGGTTCTAGAAGGCAGTATTTTCAATGTTAAGCAAAAATAAACAACACAGGGGCATAACCTCAAGCTGAATAGGAAGGCAGTTCAAAAATAATGCTAGAAAGTATTGCTTCATGGAAGAGTACTGGAAGCTTGGAACCAATTTCCAGTGAAGGTAATGGGTCAATCATCAGTTACTGAGTTTAAACATGCTTAAACACATGTCTATCATCCAACAAAAATGAAAAAATAATAAAATAAAAAATAATAACATAAAAATAACATAATAATTTAAAAATAATAAATTAATTAAAAAGAAAACAAAAAACCCTCAAAGGCTCAATGGACTACTGGGTCTTTTTGTGCCATCAGTTTTCTATGTTTCTTACTGAAAATGGACAATTCTGGGACTCATGATTAATGAGAACAGTGCCTGATGAATATTTGCTTAGGAAAAGCTCTGTTGGTTCAAATAGGTCAGACATGTCAAACTCGCGACGTCACATGACATTGCGCAACGTGTCAGGACGGTTTTGCCATTGCCGGCAATGGAGTGGGTGCGGCTTCTGGATGACGGGACCAGCCCGCGGGCCAGCAATTTCACACCCCTGAAATAGGTGGTTTAAAGTATAAATCTTCTCACATGTACATATAAAAAAGAAATGAATTAAAAAGCATGATTGATCTGATTGTTTATGATGGACTGAATTAGTGAAAGAAACAAGGATGATAAGTTCTGAATATGGAACGGCTCATTAAAGTCAAAGGTGGATGTTGGAAAAAATTAGATGTGATAGAAATAAATAAAACTTAGAGTGAAATCAGAATGATGCAGGAAGAGAAATATTACCAATTATTAGAAACCTACATAATTAATCTTCTACTAGAAAGAATGGTAAGTGAGTATAAGGAAAGAAGATATGGAAGTTACTTCTAGCAAAATGAGAAATTGTTTTATAGTATACTGCAACACTGGGGGGAGTGGGGCGGGAAGAGAAAAATGTAAAGCCTAAAGTAGAGTGACAACTATTTCAAAAAAGACAATGAAATGATTAGGATGAAACTGAAGTAAAAGAAGGGATACTTAAGAAAAGTTTATGCGAATGACAGTGATATGTCAAAGAAGGGACTTGCAATGAATGTTATAAATATTACTGTTTAAGAAAAGATGATGAAAATGAAGTCAAAGTTGTGAGAATGCTGAAATATGTTAAAATTGCAATTGTAGATGGCATCAGTAGAATATATTATAATATAGATAGTCCTTGACCTACAACCCTTCATTTAGCAACCATTCAAAGTTACAATGGTACTGGAAAAAATGACTTGCAACTGATCCTCACACTGACAACCAGCATCCTGGAAGCATCATCCACAAGGTCATATGATCAAAATTTGGTTGCTTGGCAAGTGGGCATGCATTTACAATGGTTGCAGCATCCCATGGTCATGTGATCACCATTTGAAACTTCCCAGACAGCTTTCAAGAAGCAAAATCAATGAGGGAATCTGGATTCAACGACTACATGATTCACTTAACAATAACAATGATTTGCTTAAAAATTGTAGAAAACAGTTGTAAAATTGGGTGTTACCCACAATTTTGTCTAAGTTGAGGACTATGCAGGTATGGCTTACTTCTGGGGTTGCTATATGATTTGTTTAATGTGTACATGAAGACTACATCTGGATCTGACTACTGGAAGAATGTTATTATTACTCCTCTATGTAAAAGAAAAGATAGCAAACATGAATGCCATCTACAAAGGAATTAATTTGTTCAATGTCCTCAGGGAAGGAATTGACTAAATTCTGATTGTAAAAGTACAAGAGATCATAATAACCAAAAATTGGGAAGTATACGTGCAAGCATTGTGCCAGACATAGGAGTTTATTTGTACATTTGTTAATTTAGAAAATTGTACTATAAAATGATCAACCTTAAATTATACTATATCTTTGCACAAATATGAAGGTTGATTACTAAATAAAAAAGAATTGTATATTATAATAGTAATGCATACACGAGTATAAATAGAATGTGTAGGTTCCCATTCTAGGACCTGTGATTTATGTTTAGTGAATATATGAATAAATCTATCAGGAGTGTTGTGTTGATGGGGGGGTACATTCGGGATGTGAATGAACATAGACTTCTGCTTGTCAATTGTGGTTGCAAGTTTGTGAACTCTTGCGTTTTCAATATTTCTGCTTATATCACCTAAACGTGACCTATTCTCCACACAAGTCCTAAAACTAGATAAAGAAAACTCAATTAAATAGTCAAAAGTTACACATTTGTATGTGGCAAAAATATGTGAATCTCTAGGATTATTAGTCCATTTGAATGGGAAAGTAGAGTCAGATGTTTCGATCAATGGGATGAGAATCAGTTGTGAGAGTGGGTGGTCATATCTTATTTAAATAACAGAATTCTGGGTATATACATTAAAGTCTGATCATCACAATACAAGTATATACAACATGACTTGAACATTTC